AAGCTTATAACTGTTGCTAGATCTAGCAGCAGTTAGCTGAAATTGGAGCCACAAGCTAGTTTAGCTTGAGCTTAGCTCACACCGGTGTGGTTCAATTTCAAGGCTCAAGTCCTTATCTTGCGTGGAATTAGCCACCAATACGGATGCTCTAACAGATGTGATTTTACATTGCCTTTTGGTGTTGTAATTTTTTTCTGAAAATTTTGGTATAGCGCAGTGTGGTGTCAGACTGTCAGTGTAGCTCCAATAAAAGCCTAATACTGCTAAAGCAATGGGGAGTCACTACACTACCACTATGTGGCTGTTTAGCATAGTTCAGTGCAGAAACAGGTAGCAACCCACTTTTGCATCAGGGTAAGTCCTTGAATAAAACCTCTCATCACATCCTGCCCACCATCAAGCTCACAATATGAAGAAATAAAAAGAGTTTAAAATTAAAAATATCTTCCTATTCTAATTCTGATCACACCCCTCTGCATTGTATCCAACTTCCTGATCAAGGCTTTTGTGAAAATTATCAAGAGGTTAGAAAAGAGCTAAAAATGTATTTATTTGCATCTTGTTTTCTTTTTTTTGTTTAATTGTAACATGTATTTTTCCATTTTTCCCATCATTCTTCTGAAACTTAGTGATTAAAACATTGGAACCCCAAAAGTCCTTTTTAACCCCCAAGAATAAATGAACAGTGCCAAAAGGTACAGAGCCCACTAAACACATCTACCAAATAGATTGGCTCTTGGGTTTAGCTCTCACAATGGAGTTACTCTCTGAGCCTGCTTGAGAACCCAAGTCTCCCCAAACTTAACTCCAGTCTCTGCTGCGGAGGGTGCATCTGGCAGCATGGCACTGGCCAGGAGGTTGCCAAAGGGAACTCCCCGCAGCCTCAGGGGAGACTTGATTCAAAGGTTGACAAACTTGCGTGCCAAGAATAGACTGTTTTGGTGGGAGTAACTTTCATGATGCAACCACATGAGATCCTCTCAACTCTTTTGATGTTTGGTTGGATTTTATTGATGGGATGCATGTTGGCTTCCATCTGACCAAAACTCAAAACAGCTTCAGCCTGGTGTGATTTTATAATGATTTTATAAAATCACACTGTGAGTTCTTAGAAGCGTGTTTGAGCAGTTTGATCAACTTTTGCACACTATAGAAAGCCAGCAAAAGTCAAAAAGTTGTCATTTTGAAAGATAGATACAAATAAACTCAGAAGGTCAAAAACAAAATGAGAAGGCTGTAACATGTAGAAGAAGCAGGCCTTCCATGCCTGTGAAGCAAATTCAATGAATGAGAACAAAAAAGTGTGCACACACAATGTAACTTAAAAAAGGGTTTCAGGCCCAAATCTGTAATCTTGCCACACGGCCCTTGCGACTAAGGCATAGGCTTCCACTGGTGTGGACAGCTCCACTGCTTGCTACTGCTCCCGCCATGGAGGCCTAGTTAAGCTCAAAGTCCCCCGTTGATTCTAAGGCAGCTGACCGCTGCTTGGACTCAGAACCCGCAATGAATGTCAAAAATTTGGGTTGTAATAGGACGGGTCCAATTTTCAGGGTTTGACTCCTAGCGTCTCCGAACCCACCCCGAAAAGGTCCTGGCTCAGACGACCCTCGAGTCACCCCGTCTACCGGCCGATATCCAAGCCGGGCTGCATTATGCTGACTTATTCAAGTACGGAGACTTTGCCCAGTGGCGTACAGCCTCCGGGACCCGACTTGAACAATGGGACGATCTGAGCCTGCTGAAACCTTTTTTTAAACAGCTGTTGTCCATCCTTTCAACATCAGATGAAAACTACGAATGACGCGACTTGTGGCAGGAACTCGACAACCTGCTTATCTAGGTTGTGGAAATGATCGGCCGAGCCCCTAGCTCAAGCACCGGACATTCGAGTTGTCATGTGTCTACTTGATCAGGTGAGCTCTGCAGTTGGAGCGTTTCATTTCCTGGTTGAGGTGGAGTCCAAACTTTAGTAATCAGCTGCACTGGGAAGCACCTACATTGAACGTGAGTCAGAGTTGATTTCTGCTCGAGATAGCCGTCACTGTGACTCCAGTTCAACTCTGAAACATCATCATTGAAGTGACTTTTTTGTCTGGCCTATTTACAATAAGGAAAAGAAATTTGACAGTGCCTTAGTGACTGCAAGTGCACACAGATCTCTTCATATACATAACTATGTACCGATTCTTATCTTTCAACCTCAACCTCACCCACAATTTGACTGATTTATATTACTTCCCGGCGAGAATATAATGCCCTACATGCAGAGGCCAAGCATACGAGGGAGTAGATTGATGAGCTTTATTCACCACTTACCGCTCCTGAAGCTTTATCAAGTTGATCAATTTTATTTGAATAGAGTCATCAGACCACGTTTCTTAAAGCTTTCAAGCCTTCAAGTTTCCTCAAGAAATTCATATATAAATCACAATCTCCCGAAAGACTTTAAAATGCTACATGAAAAAGATGCTGTTGGTTAATTTCAGTGTCGAGGGTGAGCTGGAGGCTGTATTTTTTTTTCTTTTCTCTTCGGCATCCCTTCCTTTGCGCTTTCCACCGGCACCTTTCCGGCATGCATGCAGTTATATGATTGCTTCTTACTCTTCCCAACCTGGGTTTTGTGCGGGCAAGGGTATTTATTAATCTGGATTCTGGAGGCTACCTCTGATTGATGATCGGACGACTACAAATTTGGTATTACGTACGTGTTTATGTACATGTGCTTATTTGCGTTTCTGCTTCCTGAGCCTGCCTGGGCCCTACACACGTCCGGCAGTGATTGAACAAGAACAGAAGGAGGCCTGCTGGAATCCGATCTTTGTACATAAAGTATGTATGGGGCCGGTTGGGGCCGTCTGTCGAGACTCGACTGCTTGTATGTATCCTGACAAGCCGTTTGTTTGCTTGCTTCAAGTCATCCTTGCCCTTTCTTCTAATTGAGTGAATTGGCCATATCTAGTAGAATCACCTCAATTTATATAACTTCTTGGAAGTTGGAAGAGAGTGGCTCATCTATCAGCCTCAACCTACTACGCACATACTCCGCCCCACGTTGACTTTCCTCGCGCTCTTCTTTCTCTGATAATCTTGTTTCTTTTATGCCACTCCCGACTTGACCTGACCTATACATCAAAATTAACCTCGTCTGTTTTGAGCACATCCCCTTAGCCGTTTTAGAAACCTTCTAAATGTCGAACAACCTAGGCGCTAGCTTCACTAAGCTACCCAGACCGCCGCAACGGCCACCAGCTTGTCGGGCATGTAAGCGCCGAAAGTCGAAGGTATATACATTATCCGCATCTTTCTCTTCAGACAAATGGAAAGTGAAAATACTGATTCTAATCCGCATATCAATTACCAACGGATGTATCGATTGATGTTCATGAAGTGTGACTTCGAGCAGCCATGTTCTACTTGTATGCTTCATAGTACTGTGGATAATTGCTGCTATGATACATTGGCAGTTCCTCGCGACCATAGATCTACAGCTCGCATGTATGTGCTTTTCCACTTTTGTCTCGCCGACGAAGCAACCGGCTATTAGTGCTTTGAAGTTTGATGTGCGGCTGACTTCCAGTTGAGGAGTTGAATAACGACTGATAATTGTTCTATCTATTGGCTAATTTGGTGCGCAGATGTCCAAGTGCTCCTTCCCGAACGAAACAGGCGAAAACGCTAAAAGCCAGACTTGCTGAAGCTGAAAGCATGATCATGGCCCAACAACATACGATCGAGTCTCTCCGAGCGGCGGCTAATACTATGGCACAAAGCTCAACCTCACATAGTGATTTGCATGGCCCGAATGATTTCCGCGCAGTCCAGGATGATGCCAAGGATCGCGAGGGAGACGATACGACGGGACGAGAGGAAGATGGGAAAACTCACCCCGAGGATTTGGCCGATAAGATGACTCGGTTAGTAATCGGTAGTGCCATCTCGCCACTGCAGCTTGAGGTTCCCGAGCTCCCCAATTCCATTGCCACCCCGGAACGAACCACAAACGGGGAAGCCCAGAAACTTCAAAATCATGTGCGCGCTTTGTTGGTTTCTCACAACAACGGTTGGGTCGAATTCGCACGCCGTTTCGGCCTCAATCCCTCACATGCAGCACCTTTGCCTCCGCCCCCGCTAGTCTCCAACACCATCATACCTGAAAAAGAAACAATTAACAGTGTTCATGGCCTGGTCTCTCTCTTTCCACCTACTAAAGTCGAAGCTTTGGCACTCCTTGAAAACTACTTATCATTTGTGAACCTCGTCCATCATGTGGTTGATGGTCCGCAAACGCGATTCGAAATCGAATTTTTCTATGATCTACTTCTTCTCGATCCCCCTCAACCCATGAAGCCCTCTCCAATGCCGGTCCCGCCTCTCCTAGAGCCCGGCTGGCTGAGTGCCATGTTGGCCATTTTCACATTGGCGGACAAGAGCGATCGAGGCGGATTGCTGAGACCAAACTCCCCTCAATCTCTTTCTGACTCACAACGAGCTGATGGAAAAAGTAAAATCTGGTTGGAGGGCTCGCTTCAAGGTTTGAGAATGAGGCTAAGTGGTGAGACACCTCTTGATCTGGTGGCGTTAAGAAGTGTTTGTCTAGTTGTTTGGGTGTGAGCTCTTCATTCTTCATTCTACTTCTTTTCAAGTGGATCACAAGATTAGGCAACCTTTCTGACATCACTTTCAAGAGTTTAGGTATGTTTTGTATGGGCAGGACGATGAAGTATTGCCGGCTGTTAATTTGAATTCAAAGGTTCTATATCAAGCTTGTGATAAGCTGCAACTGGTGAGCTGCTGCCATCTCAATGACCAAGCTTGCCATATCGAGAGAGTTGATCCGGCGACGGTTCTTTCCATGTATCCGCCTGACAATGACCTAGCACCGTGATCCAAGCCAAGTTGAGCCCCAACTCTCACAGCGTGAAGCGGAAGATAGGAGGCGCATATTCTGTAGGCGAATAAGACTTGACTATCTTAGTATCACACAACAGCTGGATCGTTGAAAGCTATTTTCTCTGGATACTTTTTAGATAATCTTCTGAACACTGACTGGCTGTTTAGCGCAATCTCGGGGAAAACCTATTCTCCTGTGGGGGAACGTGGACACGACGTCCGGCTTCCGCGTTCGATAACCGATCGTGATCCGATTCCCTCGGCTATTTCTGGTCTTGCTTTTCGTTCTAGGTTGATGCGGCAGCTTCGTAAACTTGCCACACTTGCCTTGCTACCTGGCGGAATCTCGCAGGCCGATGCAGCGAATTTTGAGGCGGAGTTAGATCGACTTGATCAACGCCTGCCTGGTTGGTGTGAGATCGACGTTGATAATTTCCCTTGTGAGGCTCATGTTTAAACAATCGTTACAGGTGAGATAGATTGGGCGAAAGCTAACCAGTTCAAACTCAACCTACCTCAGCCGGTCAATCCTTGAGCGATCCACAACAGCAGGCCGAGTTTAGTCAGAAGATCATAACCAACGTCCAATTATGTGCCGTCAGAGTCAGGTTCCATACCAAATTTGCTTCGCCTGGTCTCGAAGCCCCTACTTACATGCACCAAAGTGCTGGTCACCATCGCGCTATCTGTATTACAAGAGCAGTTCGGCTTCTGAGGCTTGAACAGCTGCATTTACAATATTCTACCCGAATCTTAGGTCACAGGCAAGTTATTTGCTCTTGTTTTTATTCCTTTGCTTCTTGACTGATCCTCCATGTGATTTGATGGCTTTGTACAGTGGTTACCCTCGTTTCCATCCGATTGTGGGGGGTTTGACACTTTCAGCTCTGATGGCCAGTCAGTTAACCCTCAGTTTATTCGCCACCTCATCTTGCTATGCCTTATTGACCTAATTCGTGTCCACAGAGAGCTCGGACCCCTCAGAACGCCGCATGCTTTTCGACGAGCTATCACGTTTTACTGCGGTGATCCATGGCTATGGGGTTCTGTCTCAAGTCACTAATTTGGGAATTTTGGCCATTGAGACTGCTCTCGCCGAAGTCAGACGTGGGGAGCTTGAGCCGCGAACTTTGAGGATACCAGCATCGACAGTTTCACAGGTCAGTCAAGACGCGATGTTAGGCACAAATTCCAGTACCATCTCTGATGATTTGTTCAACATCGCGTAGGCCCAAAACGAGGAAAACTCGACAGAGCCTTACTATGCTGCCCCGCTTATCCCTGAGACAGTTCCCTATGATAGGCATCAGGGGGTGGAGCCTCAGTCTGAACGGCCCCCATTAGCTCCAAGGCAGTCAGAGCATATTCAACACCCTTATCGCCCGACGCCGATCATCATCCCAGCCGATGGACTCTCCAAGCAGACAAACCTCAGAAAGCAGCCCGAGGTCTGCCTCCAGCAGCCCGCAAATGTTTATGATGTCTTGTTGAGCGAGCGTGTCGTGCGCCGGGGAGACTCGGACCAAGTTGAGCCGGCTAGTGCCATAAGTCCTATCACACCTAGTGGAAACGATTTTGGCCAATACGCAATCACGCCGGGACAAACCCACGTCATCAACCCGATAGGAAATTTATTTTCACACCTGGGGGGAGTTGGCTACGAGGGGCTCATGGTTGGGTGGATGGGGTCTGGAATAAGCACACCAGCTACTGGAAACCAATCATCCGAAACCGTTATTCCAACCGTTCAAAATACTTGGAAACAAGAATGGTGACTCGCCTATCAGCGATACTCTTCCTGCACGACTTCGGCTTCGAAGACAGCTCGAGAGGCCTTATCATATTTTCGAGCAGGCAAGTCTGACTTGCTCGATCAAGTCAACTCAATTTCGGATTTTGGATTCCTTCAGAAACTATCCACGATCCAGGTCGGGAATTAAAACGCATTTGAAGGTCAATAAGAGAAAAATCAAGCTTAAACTTCAAACATGGAAAGGAATGATTCAACAATTTGGCTAGTTTTTCAGGGCTGCTGACCTATACACTCAGAGTCGCATGTACTTCATATTATCTTCTGAAAGGATCTCGCATAAAATTTCTTTGATCTTTAGTGTTTTGATTATTTCTCAGTTACCCCGCTTGGTTATTGTATCCTTAGTCTCTACAATGTCTGTGTCTTGATTTGAACTCTGAGGCTAATGTAGCATAATGATGCCCAGAATAAATTTCACGGCTGCGGGGTTTCTCTGACAGAGCAGTTTACAGGCACTTGAATAGTTTGTTCACACATATGAATACTGGATTTGAGCCCATCTAACCAATAACTTCCCATAATTATCGCGTACAGAATGTATTCTGCCAGATTGTCAATGTATACGCATGTGTGTGGGTATCGGCTAGAAATCACACTTGGCCTAGAGTCAAATTTCATTGATCTGTGTTAGGCGCTCATGATCCTACATTGGCATCAATGTTCTGGAGGGTTACAGAAATTGAGAACATTCAAAATGCGTCTGCCTTTTTGCACACCAAATATTTCCCCTGTGCACACCAAAAAGCACTGCACTCCAGGATTCTTGGAGTGCACTACCATGCACTCCAGATTTTCTTGGAGTGCACACCACAAGGGGAAGACTTGAATGATTTTGGAGTACAGTCTCCTCCCAGATGTTTATAGCCATCTGTTTTGAGCTCCACAGTGGGAACCCAAAAAATTCAAGTCAAAAAGGTTTGTGAAATGGTGGAAAATGGGGTTCAAAGAATGAATATGAAAAAGTAATAATAAAAATCAAAATTTTAAAATTTGTGAAAAAGATAAAAGAAAATCAACTTTTTTTCAAAATTTTATTTTTTTTGTTTGGATGAAAAATGAACATACAGAGGGCAAGCTTGGAACATGAAAAGAATGATTATAAATGAAAAATATTGATTCAAAAGAAGTTTGAGCATGGTGGGTGGACACACAGTACACTGCAGTGAAAATCAGCAGATTGCAGTACCAGAATGCCACATTTCTCAATGAATGACCCCCTAGGCACCCTTTTTAAACCACCAATTAGTCATTTTTTTTCCAAATTTTCACTTCTTATTATTCATTACAGATCTCATACTATCACTTCGGAGATTTCATATTTTCCTGAAAGAGATATTAGAGCTGTCTGTCTTTGTGATTTTCTCCTTTTTACTTTTTACAAATTTTATAATCTTGTTTATCAATTTTTTTTCATATTCATTCTTTCAGACCCATTTTCCACAATTCCACCAACTCTTGTGACTTGAAATTTTTGGATTCCCGGTGTGGAGCTCAAAACAGATGGCTATAAACATCTGGGAGGAGGCTGTACATGGTTGTGCACTCCAAAAAAACTGAGGTGCACAGATTTGCACTCCTGTGAATATTGAAGTGCATGCCACATGGGAATGCACTCCAGTGTTTTGAATGCCCATGTATTTCTAGGTGTTTCAATCCTGCTCACTCCAAATTATTTGGAGTGCACAGAGCTTCACTCAGAAAATTTGGAGTATTTCCTTGGATGCCCAGGCTGATATCACACAAGAAGGGCCTGTCTGTCTGTAACCGGGTCATTGTGGATTCCAAAAAGTAAATAAAAATTCTCTCTGTTTCTTGAGCAGGCCCTTATGGTGTTCAAAAATTACAAAAAAATATCTTTTTCTGTTGAGTGCCATGAATCAAAAAGACCATGAATTATTTATGATATCATTATTGGCCCAAGGGTCCAAGAAAACACCCCAAATTTTTGGAGTGAGCAGGATTTGAACTCCTAGAAACACCTGGGCAGCAAAAACACTGGAGTGCATGGGTATGCACTCCAATATTTAAAGGAGTGCAATGCTGTGCACTCCAGATTTTTTGGAGTGCACAACCATGTACTCCAAAATCATCAAGATTTTCCCCTTTTGGTGTGCACTCCAAGAATCAAGCCACAACTTTTTTAGTGTACATGGGGGAAATCATTGGGGTGCAAAAATGTAGACCTTTAAAATAGTGTGGATTGAACTCAAAGTTAGGCAGGATAGGTAGGATTAGTCACACTACTTACAGTCCAGAGCAAAAACTCCACATTGTTTGCCACTTCCTACTACACTGTGTCACTTGACATACTGGACAAGCAATTCTGACAAGTGCCTGGAGTAGAAAGATTGGTCCAATGAGATCCACAGACCTTTGGCCTATCAAACTTGTTGATCATGATCATTCTGTGCACTTTCAAGATTACCTCAAAATCAACTGCATCATACAACAATAAAAAATCACACAGGTTTCAAATTGAACTTTGTTTCAAAATGTTTTTATCAACTTAAGATCATTACCAAAGAGTCAAAGACCTCACCCACCAAGCTTAGGAATATCATAGAGATCTGATGAAGATGTTTTATGATTTTGAAAAAAAGGAAGAAGACATCAATCAAGCATGTTTCCTTTATATTTGTCAAAATATAAACAGATGGAGTATTCCAAGATATTCAGCAGTGGAAACTAAACATCCAATTTATAATAGGAGTTAATCTGATAGTTGAGTAACAAAACATCAGAGATATACAGATCAAACTAACTTGTAGAATAATTAAGGCTATGAATAAGCTTGATTTTTTATTAGTGGGGCTCATGACAAGCTTTTTTCTTCTCAAAACCAGCTTAAATCTTTCCTAATTCAGGAAATCCTGGCCTTAATTTTAGCTTTGAATCAAGCTCAGAATGCAATTCATACTTGAATTTCACAAAATATTTCCTGGATCTCTTAAAATTCTAGCTTCACTTTAACTGATCCAATGCTTGAAAATACTGAGGATTTCAAATTTGTTCCTCACATCTTCTTGTCATGAACTCCGCTACTGAAATATAGGAATAAGACTAAAACAATGGAAAACATTCCTGGCTGTGGGAGTATATTAGAGACATGATTAGATCAGATATAAATATCTCCAAACCATCATTTGATAACCTCAAGAAAGACCTTCATCACTACTACTATTCATAATCTCATATTTGAAGGTGCTTTGGTAGAGATCATGTAAGCAGATCTTCCATTTTTGGGTCCCAGAATTCTATGATTAATGCTTTTTTTATTTTAGGATCAACTCCACTTGTCAGGTGTGGTGATGACAAGACCAAAGTTATTCTAGCTACACTAGCTGATAAGGCTGGTTTGGTTGCAGATGAAGAAAGGATAATGAAAATATAGAGGAGGGCCTGGGGTGTGGGGTTTGTTATGGTGCCCTCCTGGAATTAATTGCTTTTAACACACTTGTTGCAGCGGTTCACTTGTGCAGAATAGTCTTACGGGTGCCTAGCAATACTAGGTTATTTGGTCCGTGTAGAGTGTATGTATGGACAGAGGAATAACCAATAAAAGTATTCCCTGGCAACAAATCCTGGCACTCAAGTGCAAAACTTACAGGGTGGATCTTTGGTGCTCTGAGTGGGGTATGCTGGGTAGCAGAATGATATTTGTAAAAAAAGGTAAACTGGAAAAGGATGGGGAAACATACTGAGCTGGTAAACCAATGATTCCTGGCAGCACTGGGCTTCTGCACATTTGCCCAAAAAGCATTAGTGTAGCAGTTTTTTTTGCGCCCCAAAATCACGTAGTGTTAGCACAAAGTTAGTGGCTTTTTGCTACACTACGCTGCACTACGGGCCGCTACAGGGCCAAAATGCCACTAACCAGCGCGTTAGCGCAGCATAGCGGGCACTTTTTGAGGGCCTGCACGCCTAGTGTTAGCGTGGACGTGGTGGGATTCTGCTGCGCTAAGCTAAAGTTAAGCGGAATTTGGCTATGTTACACTGCGCTAACCGCTATGGTTGGCGTAGCTGGCCCAGCATTGTTCCTAGCTACCTTGTTCACAGGCTCATTTTATACTTCAAGTGTCACTTCTGTGATTCTAGAGAGGAAATTTGGGCTCACCTTTCATCCCTGAGAGTTTTTAATGATGTGTACTTTTCCAGGAGCTCGGTCAGGGGAAATCTGCTCATCTTACATCACAGTATCCTGTCATGAGGTCTCAATATGTCATTAGTTAAAGTACATTTTATGACATTCACTTTTGTAATACTATGTGATTATTCAAGCTTTTATTTTTAATTATTTATGGAAATATTACAGGTCAGCTTGACTCTATAATAGTAGCAAGCTGACACCACTCTTGAATATCCTAAAACAGGTCAAGCCAAATCTGCCATAAACTTCTTATGGAATGTGGCATGATTGCTTCTTTTTTTGTGGGGCTGTCAGCTAATTATCAAGGGAATCCATTCCTTTTCTTTGGAATCAATTTCCAAGTCATGAAGTAGATCCCAAGATTCTTTGAGAAGACATTTGATAAGGGTGCAACCAATGTGTCTGCCGATGTAGTCATCGGGGACGCTCGGGGGTTGATGATGCTCCCCCCCCCAAACCCCGAAGAGAAAGCTTGCGTCATATCCACTCCGATCAACTTCCAACCATCCTCCACCTTAACCAAGCGCACTCACACTTCTCAAAACCAAACACACCCTCATCATTTATCATGGCAACCGGTGGTGGCTCTTACAGCTTCTCGTTAACGACCTTCTCGCCCTCCGGTAAACTGGTCCAAATCGAACACGCCCTTGCTGCCGTCGGCCAAGGAACTTCCAGTCTTGGAATCAAAGGTTTTTTTTCTTTCCCTGTCAATTTAACCTCAGGATGGGAACTGCTACTATCCTTCTTGAAATATCCTAGATGATTAACATGATAACTGATTTTTTTCACTTTTTGTACCAACCCAAATCTTAACGACGAATGAAAAAAAAAAAAAAAAACCAATGAAGCGTCGAATGGAGTGGTGATTGCGACCGAAAAGAAAACCGCATCGATCCTAGTAGATGACTCAATCATCGAGAAAGTGGCTTCGATTTGTCCGAACATTGGCATGGTTTATTCAGGTACATTCCCATTCAATTCACGATAAAGTCCTTTAAAAAAATCGCGGTGGTCGTCTGGATCTGTGTTCATTTTTCTGGGGTCTGTATTGGGTGAGGATCATAGGAATGGGACCTGATTATCGAGTTTTGGTCACCCGAGCGCGAAAGATCGCGCAGAGCTACTGGAAAGTAAGTTGTTCTTCTGATCATCTTAGATTAAACGATGGATGACACTCACTCTGTCGTTCTCATTTTCAGATTTATGGCGAGTATCCGCCGACACGGTTGCTCACACAAGAGATCGCCACAGTCATGCAGGAAGCCACACAATCTGGGTCAGTCAAACCTCTTGATCTATGTCTCCTCACTCAGTGGCCCCACTTTGTATATGAACCCACTTTTCATTTGTAACTCGATTTAGTGGTGTCCGTCCATTCGGAGTCTCTTTGTTGATCGCTGGATGGGATGAACATCGAGGATCGACGCTCTATCAAGTCGATCCGAGTGGCAGTTTCTGGCCATGGAAGGCGAGTGCGATCGGGAAGAACATGGTGAATGCTAAGACGTTCTTAGAAAAGCGGTAAGTTTCTTTTGTTTCCAGCTTCGAGCATGTTATGAAATTGAAATTGGTAAATACCTACGATCAATTTGTTTAAACAGATACAATGATGAGTTATCGCTTGAGGATGCTATTCACACTGCGATCTTGACTTTGAAGGAAGGTTTTGAAGGCCAAATGACCGAAAAGACGATCGAGATCGGCGTCATGGGGACCGTCGGTGTCGGAGCTGATACCGTCCAACCCGCCGATCGGGCTCAGCCCGTCTTTAGGAAACTAACAGAGGCTGAGGTTAAGGATTTCTTGGCGCTTTGAATCGCTCTTGTTTCTTGTTCTTTCACATGTTTATTTACCTCCCTGTCACCTTTCTTCTTTCTTAAAAAAACAATAAACCATTATTGATTCATTTGAAATCTTTGCTTGTTCTGACTGGTCCAAGCACCCCAAAAAAGAGAAAACAAGAATCATCACATCATTGGTTGGTACTATTATTCCCATTAAAGGTTGGTGTCATACTCTCAAGAGTCAAATGAAACCAAGATGCAATCCACAAGAAATGCTATTGTGAACCCCCCTACTGAGTTCATTTTATGTATACAATCATGCAATCAGGTCACTGACGGTGGAAACCAAAAGATGACATCCAATCCACAGACAGAGACTTATAAGAAGCTTGGTAGTGTAAGTTGTGCTCTCATGACTTGTGCACTTGGTACATAAATGTGAATACATCACATGAACTCATTTTTTGCATTAAGTTATTTTTCTGTACAAGGACTGAAAGTGAACTACCATAGTGCCAAATGGTCAATGATAAATTCACAAGTTTCTAATTTCCCACAACCTAGCCCCATTGTTCTAACAGCTTAATTTCATGTGTGGATAAATAAATTGATCATCATCTGCTATCTGTGCGCACTTTGCTGAGGTCACTAAGAGATACAGACTCTTATAGCATGAGTGCCTTTCTGCCATGCAAGCTAGCAGTTTCTTAGCCTCTTTTGGGCTCTTTGACTAGTTTTATTCTATTTGAGTCTTTAGCCTGGAGTTTTTCTTCCTGGTCAGTCATCCCCTCTTCCCTCACCTCTTTGTGAAGTTTCATCACAAGTGGTTGGTTCTTTCCTTGAGGTTAAACAGCTTGGTCATCTGATTGATTTTGAATGACTTGGGTCTTGGACCCCTATTTTTTTAAAAAAGCCATGTGCAATAATTGTAAGAATATGTTGAATGGCTAGAGCTTGCACACAGGGAATTGACTCTGGATACACATTGATTCATCCAAGGATTTGTACAGATCCAAGTCAAGGCCATTTTCTTAAAACCTGGTGGACAAAATTAGACCTCATTAGCCTTTTTTCATCTGACATCATACAAGCTGAAATGGATGTTGTGTGTCAGAAATTTTGATGATCCACAGCTCTGGGGGTTTCGAGTGTTTTGGAGGCCCCCCTTGGCACCCGCTCGTGACCCCGTGAGCGGAATGCTACCCGGCCGCACCCCGGACTCCGAATATGCTGAAGCAGATTCAAGTGACCAGCTGGGAAACAGTGTCCATCAACCCACCAAAATGACAACCCAATCATCCTCGAGTTCCAACCAAGAAATCATTACAGATCGAATCGTCATCCCTCTGGCTACGGACGAACGGTGCTGGTTTAAGTGCAGACAATCAAATGCAGGAAGGTATTTTCGAATGATTCTACATAGGCGTTTTAAAACCCTTGTCACATTCCAATTGGAAACTCGAAGCTGATTATTAATACATCGATCCTTACCTACTTGCGAAAAATAGGCTACGTGGTCAGGAGCCGATGTGTTCGCTATTTTGTTACTACTCGAATCAGCTGCCCTCACTCATAACCGACCCGGCGACCGCCCTCAAGAAAGCGCGAACATCGACCTCCTCAACATCCATTGTCCCCTCGAATCACCAAGATAAAAATCATGTTTTTTCAGACAAGAAAGAGGAACCAGAAGATCGGTGGGATGAACTGATCCGGAAATACACGTTCAGCTATTTCGAAGGCAAATATTTTTACTTTGCCACCGGTAAACCAGCGGTCATCCGTCATCTAGCTTCCATGCGTCAATTGGGCTCCGTCGAGCATGACTGGCTCGTGCAGAAATTTAAGGAAGAGGACGAAGCTATCCACGAAAAATCAAAACCTGCTGGTAAACAGATCCCTGACAAATCTCACCGTGGGTTAGTCGTGTTGGCTTATCATAAGGAGTCAGTAAACCGCTCACCCTTCTCTTCCGCCACTCCTTGGATCCATTCCAAACATAACTAAACTAATTGACCATTTTTTTTTTTCAAATTTGTTGCTCCAAAAAAAAGTTACGAAAGTGTGATCAACATAGCACATTCGATTGCAAGTGGATTAGCAAGTGTACATGCCCATTTCGAGAAGATATATGGGCCGAGTTACAAGATCCTATCGAAGCTCCCGGGGTCGATGCGACAACTGATGGACCCAGAGGAGTCGAAAGTGCCCAGCCAATTTACGATGATCCACGGCCTCTTCACACAACCCTTGCTCTCAAACTCCGCCACCCTGCTCAACCGCTCCTTCGAAAGTTTGTCCGAAGTCCTCGGCAGATTGGCTACTAAATATGCCTCTCGCTTCGATGATGATAAAAAGGACAACTCGAATGGTCGGTTCGGCGGTAGACCTGGCCCCCCTCCCTCCCCTCCTTCTGCTTAACTTTCTCTGGCTTTGATCGTTGGCTTGGAATTTTTTTTCTTCCTGTCCCATCTAATGTAAACTATCCCTTTAGTGTCATGTAGACAAAAATAATATTCTAAAAGCAACCACATAAATAAATATTGACATCTATCCGATCTGAATTCCATAAACCCAATTTATTTGTTAAATTTGTTTTTGGAAATATCTAAATAGCATTTCCAACATTCAAAGCTTTCAAAGGTATTTTTTTCCACACTGTCACCGGATCTCTTAACAAGATATTTGGTTCATTTATTAGTGCGAGCTTGATCCATGTGAGTTATTGGTGCCTATCAGTTAGTCAAGAGGGTACATGTGTGCAGCTCAAGCAACAGGTAGATAAAGAATCTGCTGAACAGTAGGTAATGCAGAACAGTTGGTAGATCTACCTCTTTTTCATGAGAAATTGATTTTCAACTTTGAATTTACATGGTTTGGAGCAATCCAAGTCCACAATGCATACATAGGTCACTTCAATTTCAGGGCAATCCACACAACTGGGTTATGCGGCCAAGCCTCTATTGAAAGTGAAGTCATTTGATACTGCTTGACAAGAAAAATGAAACTCAACAAGAAAAGCTTGTAATTTTATTACAGATCACTCTCAGTCTCAGTGGGGCAATTTTTCTGATTGAATGAGATTTTTATTTCTGTATTTGGAGTCTTGGAGACACAGATGATTTGATTTCCTCACTCTTGAGAATTCTAGAGTTCATTTTCACAGGCTTTTCATTGCATTCAGACAAACAAAACTGAAGAGAAGTAGAAAAACTGGAGAATGTGTAGTGTGAAGTGAATCAAGCTTTGTCCGTTGCTTGTTGGCTGAGCCGGTATGTGTAGGTATGTATGGAGGGGGTTAAGGGCATGTAATCTGCTACGTATGCTGGTTAACTGAACTTGGGCTTTGTAAGGTGGAATGGGGGTTTTTCAATGCTTACATGGTTTTCTAGGGTAACAACTTTTGTGTGATTTTCACCATAACAACGGGTTTAAGGTTTGGATTGAAATTCTATTGCTATATATCATGGTAGTCATTGGATTGGGTGGTATGTCAAGATTTTGAATTGCTGTAATCGTCCAAGGAAGTGGCTAGTTTCTGCTTCTGTTAAATTTTCGTTTTTTTTTTGAAGATTTATTTAGATTTTCAAGTCAAGTCTAAAAATAAACAGAAGGAAAAGAAAAGAATGATATGGATGCATTGGTGTTTTGCCATGGTGTGCGCCTAACCAGTTGAAACGCATGTACGTACTACCTAGCTTAGGGAATTGCAAACATCGATGCGGGCTTAAAGTTCAGTCAATCCTCTTTTCTTCATAACTCGGTGAACGGCATCGAGTTTTGCCTCGAGGCTTCTGATTCGCAAGTGGGTCTGGCTATCAGGTTGGCAGACACAGTTACCACCCGAGGATCCACCGTTGGGGTAAGGCGAGGTGGAAGGCGAGACCACTGAAGGGTTGGCGGGGTAGTCTGATCCGGGAGGAGTGCTAGATGGTGCATATCCTGAGGATGTGGAATTCGACGATGGGCTATCAGATCCGGCTCCTGAAGATGGGTAGCCTGAGGAAGGCGATGTCGATGAGTCACCCGAGCTTGAGTCGGGGTAACCAGAGCCGGTTCCTGAAGATGGGTAGTCTGAAGAAGATGGTGTCGAGGAGTTACCCGCGCTTGAGCCGGGGTAACCAGATCCTGAAGACGGATAATTCGAACCAGAAGAAGAGGAATCTGGGGTTGGGGAACCTGAACTGGAACTGGAATCTGGTGCTGGATAACCTGAGCCGGAAGTCGAATCTGGTGCTGGATAACCTGAACCGGAAGTTGAATTCGATCCTGGATAACCCGACCCTGAGGGATTCGATGAGGGGTACCCAGAGCCTGAAGGGCTCGTGGACGATGGGTAATCTGACCCCGGGGTGTTGGATGATGGGTAGCCAGAACCAGAGCCAGAGCCAGAGCCAGAGCCAGAAGAGTTGCCAGAGTCTGAAGGGTAGCCGGAGTTTGAAGAGGAGGAAGGGTAACCGGAGTTTGAAGAGGAGGAAGGGTAACCGGAGTTTGACGATGAGCCCGAGTCAGATGGATACTGGGATCCCGATCCGCTGTTGGAGGTACCTCCATTAGAATTGAAAGCACTTCCGCCATTAACAGTTTTAAGGAAGTTGGTGATGGACGAGCTTTTGTTCTCAATGTGTTGATTAATGTTGATGTTAATCGTAGTAGTGCTGCTCTTTCCGATATGCACACCATTTGCTCCTTGGGATGGGTTTGAAGTGGTAAGCCCGATGCAGACCTGTTGGACCACCAAGAAACTTTCCTGTTGGAGAATGAATCATCATTAAGAGATGAATGAGTACGGGGATCATCCGAATATTTTGGAGAAATGGATAAAAGAAAACCAACGTACTTTGCATTCTTGGAAGACTTGTTTAATGGACGTAGTAGTACTGCTACTTGAGCTGCTCGAGCTACCACTTTGACAAGCTCCTCCCATACTTGTAACAGTGACGTTGGATTGGTGGCTTGTGTGGCCGTCAAGTGAAGTGGATGATGAGCTTGAGCTCTTGGTCGTAGTTGCGTCATTCCCATATCCTGCACCGGAAGTCTGTTCATTGGATTGATGGGCAGATTTACGGAGAGACATGTCAGCGGTACTGGAATTGCTGCTTGTTGTCTGGGAGTCCCGTTTTTGAAGGCCAGTGCTGGAGCCAGATGAACCCGAGGAAGATGGCCCGTTGGAAGCACCTGAGCCATATCCGCTTGAGCTTCCACCGCTGCTTCCCTGGGAGCTACCCAAACCATTGGAGCTTCCAGAGTTGCCGTATCCAGTCGAGCTTCCAGTCGAGCCACCAAGTCCGCTGGAGCTACCACTGGAGCTTCCATCCTGATAGCCTCCATTACCACCAGAACTAGAAGAAGAGTCACAGTTTGTGCCTTGGGATGAGCTACTTTCAGAGGTGTAAGTCTGCTCGATGGTGGTCATTTTCTCCGAAAAGGTTGTCAAGGAGGTTTGGATTTCCTTTCCTGGGGTGCATTCGGACGGTGCGATCTGACAGCTGGTAACCTGCTTCGTAGCAGTCAATTGAACGACTGAATACATCATCTTTGAAACGCTGCTTTGGGTCTCATTAACAAGGTTAAATGTGTTTTGATAGCCATTCTGTTGACAGAGTGTTTGGAATTTGGAGAGCCGAGTGTAGTAGGCCGACAGAGTGCTTAAGGAAGTGGCCGAAAGCGTCACATAGGTCTTGGCTATTCATCACGTCTCAAGGACGGCGTGATCAGTAAATGCCTTGCAAGGAAATCGGGAAATAAACAAAAACACTCACTGTCGCAATTGCCAGATGAGCCTTGGGATAAGCCTTGGTCAGTGGTGGTCTGGGTGGTAGTAACACTTGTAGTGTTTTGACTGGAACTACTCGTGGAGCTTGACTGGACGATCGATTGGAGCTGATCCGAGTATGGCTGAAGACCCGGTAGAGTGTTCAACGGGGTAGCCAAGATGTTCTCCAATAACGAGTGCCAGTCAGATTGGCCCACTGAACCACTTGACCCAGACATACCACTGGAGCCATAGCCACTCGCGTTAGCACTTCCCGATCCATAGCCACTCGAGCCGGTGCCATATCCACTTGCACCAGCGCTTCCCGAGCCAGAACCACCCGAGCCGGATCCATAACCACTTGCACCGGCGCTTCCTGAGCCAGAGCCACCCGAGCCGGATCCATAACCACTTGCACCGGCGCTTCCTGAGCCAGAGCCACCCGAGCCGGATCCATAACCACTTGCACCAGCGCTTCCCGAGCCAGTGCCCCCGGACCCATAACCGCTTCCCGAGTTGGAACCGAGTCCACTACCAAGCTGTCTTCTATCTTTTGCGCCAGCCGTGGCGGTATCAATTAGCAAGAGAGGGCAGAGAATGATTGACAAGTAAACATAATGCATCATGATTTGTCAGAACTCAAAGAGTTTGTTCCACGGAGTATGCTTAGTTGATAGGTGTTTTATTTGGTCGAACGCCTGACCGAGTAGGGGACTAATAAAAACACAGCAAATTTTACAGCACGAGATTGCGATGAGATGGGATTGGTTATTGGCAAGTTATTTGCTACCTCGAATCGTTAAATGCACTATGAATAATAAGCTAGAGTAGTGGAAGGGAGTAGCCCAGTAGTAGGAATATCGTAATAAAGGAAGAAAAGACTGTAGCTCTGATGGAGAGTGAAAGGTAAGTTGGATATTGTTCAATGTCGTTTGAAGTTATGCACTAAAATGATTGTGAAAGTGTTGACTTGTCTGAGTTCTCTTTTCTATAAAGAGAAAAGAAAAAAGGGAAAAAGAAATGAGAATGAGAGATAATGAAGGAAGACCCTTGGCAAGTCTGCTCAATCTTATATCGTGATTCTCTATAGGCGCTGTTAGTCAAGGCTTAGCGTTGCTTGACAGACAACGTAGCAGGGGGTCGCGAGAAGGAAAGCGGACAACGCTCAATCTCTAAGGTAATGTCGAAGAAAATCTTTGCTTGACGATCGAGCCTCGACGAAAATTCGAAAACCTAGGTAGATAGAAGGAGTTGAACCATGCCTTGAAACCCAACTACGCTCTCTGTCACCAATCCCAGCGAGTCTGGTTTTGCTCCGAATTAATCGAAGAAAATGTCAGTAGGTTGATCGTCAAGGATCCCAGTGCGGAGTCAATCAGATGACGCATCGATATGCTCGATGTTACGCTGTTGATATGTTTGAGGAGGTTGGAAGCCGACAATCAAACTCTACCCTTCCCCCCCCTTCAACCCAGCCTCTCGGTGCGAGTGGTCAGCATGCCGACGGACCTTCGGTGCTAAAGTTCGACCCATGTCGCGAAAATATCATGCAGTTCGCGTATGATCCAGGTTCAAACAGCACGGGGGTTTGAATGTTTCAAGACCCATATCTCTGATTCGCCAACGGTGACTAGCGGTGACCTCAGGCAGAAATTATAGCTAGGGACTGCCAAGGAGACCCACAGCCTCCCGCCAAAGCTGTAGGGTCAAACGAGGAAATCATGAGTCTGGCATAGTTTTTTCAACATGAGCGACTTGAGACATCTGTTTAGCGCATTCGCAACCGGTTGAATGCGAGGAAGCTGAGCTCAAAAACAATACGCAAATGTTAAAACTTGTAGGGCTGGGTTTAGGATTACTGCAAGTTCATCTTTCAGTTGGGGTGAACCGCTTGCACTTTTAAAACCCCAAAATTTGACTAAATTTGACCTCACTTCCCACAAACAAATCATGAGATAGATACAACAGCTCATTAATATCATTGAGAGATTCAATGGACGCCATGGCTTGATTTTATTTTGAGAAAGTCTCATCATGAAATATGTACTGAAATCTAAAAAGAAAACAAGTGGGAAAGGCACCTGGCATAATTCAGTGTGATGGGAAAGATATGTATTTACAACACTTAAATTTTTTGGACATTGAAATTAATTGAATTTGCAGACGGATGAATCTTGATCATTGTAATCTGATTTTCATGAAAACTGGCTGAGAAAGTGGCTTGTATGAAAAAAAATGGAGAGTGATCACTGGAAAGATTAGTGTTATCCAGACATTCCAGTGGGTGAATGTTAGTTTTTCTGGACTTGATTATTTGCATTGGTTCCAAAATGTATATGCATTGTTTGTTAATAAATGTTGCACAAAGAATAACAGGTTTGCAAGGACAAAATCTTGTTAAGTGTAAGAGAATTGGTGATTGATCACCGGAAAGATGAGTGTTTTCCAGGAATGCATATATTCTATGTTCACCAATACTTCTGAGCAATCATTGCCTTGAGTCTGATAAATATTCTAGGGGCTTGGAAAAATGACTCCTGTTTTTTAGGCAACGACTCCCGTTTTGGTCGAGGGGTCGTCGGACGGGAGTTGTCCTTCCAATTCCCAGGAGTCGTCGGCCTAATTCCACAGGCGATTTTTTTATTTTTTTAATCGAAAATTCGGGAGTCGTCCGCCTAAAAGGCGGGAGTCTTCGCCCCAATTCCGCCCAATATTTTGCCTTTTTTTATATTTAAATTGACGGGAGTTGTCCACCTAAACGTAGGGAGTCGTCGCACCAATTCCGCCATATAGTTTGCCTTTTTTCCTATATTAAAAAATACGGGAGTCGTCCAACTACAAATGGGAGTCGTTGCCATATGGCGCGGGGATTCCGACTGCGATGACGACCGGCTGTTCCGGCTGGTGCCCGTCGGCGGTGACCTTTGGTGGCTCTGGCCCGTCGGCGGTGACCTTTGGCGGCTCTGGCCCCTCGGCGGTGACCCTCGGCAGCTGTGGCCTGTTGGAGGTATCCTCGGCGGTGACCTTTGGCGGCTGTGGCCTGTCGGAGGTGTCCTTGGCGGTGACCTTCAGTGGCTGTGGCCCGTTGGCGGAGTCCTTTGACAACTTGGCCGCGAGGACCTCGGCGGCGTCATTCGAGGGCTGGAGCCCGTTGGCGGCGTCCTTCGGTGGGGTAAGCCGGGGTGGTGGGGTTGGACATGGTTGGGTGGTTTGGGTGCTTGGGTGGGTGGGAAGTCAGTGGGGGGAGTGGATATGGGAGGAGGGGAGGATATCCGTGTGGAGCGGCGACTCCTGCGTGGGAGAAGAAACAAGGTTTCTTCTCCCCAGCCAACTGCTAGGCATTTGTCGACAACTCCTGCCAGACAAAAAAAAAGCCCAGTTGTCAGTTTGGACGATTAATGGGCCATTGACTCCCTTTCCGTCTTGGCAAATTATCCTGACGACTCCCAAGGAAAAAAAAAAAGAATCCAGAAAATTAAGGAGCAAATTTGGGGCAACGACTCCCGCCTTTTAGGCGGACGACTCCCAAATTTTCGATTAAAAAAAATAAAAAAATTGCCTGTGGAATTAGGCCGACGACTCCTGGGAATTGGAAGGACGACTCCCGTCCAACGACCCCTCGACCGAAACAGGAGTCGTCGCCTAAAAAACAGGAGTCGTTTTTCCAAGCCCCATATTCTAACTGCCAATGACAGTTCATCATTGTCTTTGACTCTAGCCTTGCATGTTTTCACCAGGCTATTCATGTCCAGGAGGCCTGTGAGTATCTACCTCCAACCAATGTTTTTAATCACTTAGGGGTTTTATGAATTCCTCAAGTTTGGTACTTTCGAGCCTGTCTGGTGATACTACCACTTTGCTGAGTTTAAACTCGTACATTGTGAATTCGATAGTGGAGGACTTCCCGTCGGATCTGGGACCCTCGCAGAAGTCAATCTAGACCCAAAATCTCTTAATTCTTGCAGAGAAATTTGAATTTTGCGGCTCTAAACCGACTCTGGGAGACCCGCAGATGTTGACGGGAAGTCCTCCAGTTTAAATCAATTTAAATTGAGTTTGAACTCGTGTCATCCGCAGGCTGTGTTTTTCATTTCAATCATAATCAATCAATCGTATTCCCCTTCTTTCCCCTTCCTTCAACCATTCGCCGATCTCTCATTCGAATCAAAAAAATCAACCCAAGGTCAACAAAATCTTGTTCTCTGATCAGTCAAATCAAAAACCGGTTTCACTCATTGTTTACTTCAAGCACTCAGGAGGAGCTAGAATCAGCTTCTGGGCAGGTAGTTAATTTCTATCTTCTTCCTTGTTGTAATTAAAATATTGACCGTTTTTATTTATTCACTTTCTCTAGGCTGTATTCGCTAAGCATTCCTGTGTGTGTTAAGAGTTTACGATTGATGTAAATTGTGTTAAGATTTTGTTACATTCTGATCTTATCTATCAGGTATTTACTTGATACATTTCATTCATCTTTTATTTTGTTATTGATTTCTAACGTTGTTTTATTTATCAGTCTATTACTTCTATTGAGTTTCTATTCAATACTGTTTCAATAAAGCAATCTACTCTATCATTCTTACACACTTTACCCAGGGAAAATAAGTTGGTTGGCCTGTTGGACTTTTCGTGATTCTTGTCCTGGCTCCCATTGCATTTCTGCTTCTGTTTATCATGTTGCCTAATGCAGTGACTGATATCATTTTTCTGCTTCCGCTGTATTGTCAGCTTTATGCTTGAGTCTATTTGATCTCACCCTGCCCCCAGTCTGAACTTTTGATTGAATCTGTTCAACCACCACTTTGAAATTCTTCTGTTTATTAATGTCTCATCTTAACCAAATCATTACTAAGACCCCACCATTTATTTCATAAGAGGAAGCCAACACATTGCCAAGCAGTTCCCAGTGGTGTTGTGAAGAAATTTGAAGCGGAGAAGGGAAAGTCGGTGATGCCGAAAGCAGACTAGGTCTGAAGTATTTAACCTTGATCTTAATTGAGGAGGCTTAAGTGTCCTCACAGTAAGAATTTGAGGAGGCTCAAGTGTCACTCAAAGGAAAAGTTTGGTCAGAACAGATAGTTTATTATTCCCAATCATCAAGAATTCTTAAGTAATCTATGTACATCATGATCAAGTTGTGGGTCTCTAATGATCCATAATGAATAAGAAGGATACAATAAGTATGCGAGATGGGCAGCTAAACAATGAGTGACATGTTCATGACAGAGAGAAGAAAAGCGATGACGAGTGAAATTCCAACATGTCGGCATTTGCTATGACCATTAACAAGTGTCAAGGCCAGAGCATGAATCCGGTGGCTTTAGTGTTAAAAATTCTGCCATTTGCCCATGGTCAGGCTATATGTGGGCTTGTCTTGGGTTAAAAGTGTGCAGAATATCTTGGTTAGCCAAGTGGGAGACATTTTATTAATGAAAAATGGGGTGATAAAACAGCTATTTAGGGAGCAGGGAAATGAAGGAGGAGATCAACAAAATATTCTGATGCAAGAATAACAAAGTTTATTGCTTTTAAGAAAATAAAATTTAGACCTAGAAGTTGTTTAGAAGAGCATAATAAATTCAAAAACTTGATGTATCTATGCTTACACTGACAGGGGTGGGCCGCTTTGCTACACTACACTATGGGCCCATGTAGTGTTAGTGTAGCGGCGCCAAGAGCTGCTTTTTTTGTGTAGTGTTAGCGCGCCACTACTGCCGCTGCGTGTAGCAGCACTAACACTAGCCATTTTTTGGTGTATTGTTAGCACACCTCTAGCGCCGCTACGCTACAGCGTTTTTAGCGGCAAAAAACACCTAAAAACCACTAAAAATTGCTGTAACACAGCGTAGCAGACACTTCTTTGTGCCCTGTGCACGTAGGGTTAGCGCAGATGGGGGGAATCACACTAATGCTATGCTAAACAATAGCACTATTTTGCGCCCCATGTGTGTAGCGTTAGCACAGAAAATGAGAAAAGCACTAACACTACACTCAATTGTAGTGGTTTTTTGCTACACTACGCTATGGTCAGCGTAGCTGGCCCACCGTTGAACTGTAATACTGAGATAGGCAGCAAATCTGCCCCTAGACACTAGTTAGTCATAAAACCTGGTAGCAAAGTTGCCAATGTGCACTAGCCTGTTGGTGGCATGGAATCACACCTCATACATAACAAGCCATACATTCTACCAAAAGTCAACACTGAAAGCTTGACAGACCTGAGTCAATGAAGCAACTTGAGGACTTTCAGCACGGTTCACTCAGACCTCATTCTTGAAGCAGTATAATCAAAAATTTGTCGTCGAAGTTGAGCTGGACAGTTAGATATTTACATGATGATGGTCAAAGATTTCCCTTTTTTTTGGGGGGGGGGCAGCCGCAACTTGAACAGTAACTATGTACATGGAAATTGAATTGGGATGGGAAAGATTTCTCTTATAGATTCCTTCAGCACCTAGTAAGATACAAAAAAAACTAATCACAGGAAAATTCAAACAAGCAACTCCCCCCGTTTATCTTCGATATCTTGAACAGACTTCCTACACCTGGATCATTTGAGTTTGAGTTTAGTGTAAAGGTGCAGATGTCCATTATCCTTTCCGCTCGGAAACTTAAAGTAATGTGTCTGACCCCGTTTGAGGGTATTTTCCCAGCTAACCATCTTGGCCGCCTGATCATGTAAGAGCATCTCCAACGGACCCGCGATCGGGCGTCCGGGGGCGAACTTTGGCAGGCCGGGTGTCAGTTTTCCACTCCAACGGACCTGTGAAATGACCCTGGAAATATTGCCGGGGGCAGTGAAACCAGCAGTTCCCTGCTGACTTCTGCCAGTCACCTTCCACCCGCAACTCTCAATTCCTACAACACAGGCCGTTCCTCCACGACACAACACACAAGAGGATCAAACAACATGAAATCAACCAACCAAACAAATCTGATCCCCCTTCATCAAACCAGACCAACTTCGACACCAACACTCCAGACCGACTCCGACACCAACGCCTACCTGTCCGAAAAAAAGTGAAAGTCAACACCGTTCCCCCAATGAGGAGGAGGGAGGAGGATGGCAATGATGACAAGTAATCTGAGCAAAGCTCAATCAACAACAACACACGTATGGTATATTATTGGCACTCGCTTACCTGTTTTCTTGCTTTTTTGATTCTTAACACTCTCATCCAATGTTTATCTCTCTACTATCTCCTGATGGTTTTTTTCTTTGGTTTTAGAAATGAATTTTTTACTTCTTTGGTTGTAGAAATCATTTTTTTTTCTTTTGAGGACACAACCAGCAAGTGAGAAAAAAAGAAAAAAGAGAGATAAAACAAATAAGACTAGCGATAAAAATAAAACTATCGAGAAAAAGAAAGAGATTACACAACAAAAAAGAAGTTGCGATGCAAGGACACTGTCATCGTTGTCCATTCACAGCAGGATACCGTCTGCCTCCATGTTATATGTGGTACAAGGGGGAGGGAGAATCGGAGTGGGGATGAGATGAGTGGGATATCTACTGGTGGGTGAACTGCCAGTCCATAACTGGAAGTGACCCGCAACCTCTGTGAAATGAGGTTGCGGCCTGCGGAACGAAGGCAAGTTGCCCCCCGGACCACTGGAGATGCTCTAAGGTGTAAACGATATCATGCTTTCCGGAGGACAGCATCAAAGATCCGGTCCCTTTGGTGAAAAATTGAAATAAACCCGACACGCCACCTGTATCGATCTTGTGCAGCGCTTTTGCCCCTTTTCCACTTCTAGCAAGAAGCTCCGCCGTCACTCCTAGATCCCATGCAGCGAGGGCTTTTGCATCACGCATGTAGTATCGCTCCTCCGACTCCCATTCTACCGTGTTCTTCTCCGTGTCCATGACACCTTTACCGCGTGAAGCTGTGTTGGGTATTTATGACTTTAGATCTTCTCTAAATTAGACTAGAATATTTGAAAACCTGGAACACACGCACCAGAACTAGGTCCAGTCGCTAATGAGCCACCAGTGCTAGCGATCAGTGATATCATCCAAAGAGAAGTGACGAATATGAAACTCTTCATCGTGATAGGGCGGTTCGATCCTTTTTGTTCTGTGGAATCACTGGCCCATGTAAGCATTGAAAAAAAGAATCTTTGGTTGATTTTATGTCGATGGATGGACAAACCTCGAGAAACTCAGGAGTCTATCCAAGGTAGCGTCAGGTAACGGCCAACGGCCAAATTGATATTTTCGGAACTCGTTGATACTCTTAAACTGTTTGGACTGAGGAAGACAGCCCAGAGATGATTTGAAAGAGATCTATATATACCGCTTTGTGGATTTGGGACTGGATGTAGAATATTAGAAAGGACTATCGAGAGGGACGCTATTTATAATGAAGCAATCGGCAGCCTCTCTCGAGTTCTCATCGGATTTTGTCTATCCTTTGGCTAATTGCCTGAGTAAGTTGCTTCACGATGGCCGATAGAAGTCGGACGAAAACCGCTCTGAAATCCGTTTCATTTTGCACAAGCGCTTTCCCAATCGATCAACCAGCTACGCTAACTCCAATCCTCATGTTCGAAAAAAAAACGCCTTTGGTACCGTATCATGAGGTTGACGTGACATGTTGGAAAGCTCTGCCGATAGTGGCTTGGCTCACAAAAAGTTGGGAAACATGTCTTGAGCGGGTTTTAATGAGATGCCCATGTGGAAGAAGAGCCTCGCATTCACTTACCTCACGGATATCTTCTTTCCATCCTTCGCGTAAAGATTGCGCTATGTGAAATTGATGCAAATTGTCCTCAATCATCTTCTTGACACCTGGGATTCAAAGCTGGGATGAGATAATTAATGGAAGATGTAGTCCGGTCAGATAACTGTAATGCTTCATATCTCAGTGTATAATTCGATAGATCGAACCCTGATCGACCACCCGGAGTGAGGTTTCAAATCCCGAAACTGGCTGGAAGGTTCGGTAAGTTTGGCGTGATATAAGATTGGAAGGTCGAGTAAGTTTGGCGTGATACATACTGATGTGCAAGGCAAGAAGACTCTCCCCTAGGTTGACAGCCCCACTTTTGGAAAAGTGCGCGCCAGAGGACACCCCCAAACCTGTCAGGCATGTGCAACATTGGATCATCGCCAGGGGCACCTTTTTTGTATCAAAAAACTAGCATTTGACCACAATTTTTTGGGAGTTTGACTGCTGACCTTGTTTTTGCCCCAAATGTTGGTGGGTTTTATTTGATGACCTTTTTCCCCTGTTGGGAAGTGTGGCCCAAAGGGCAGACCAGCTTCACACCCCCCTGCCAGGGACCGTGTTCAGTTTGGTTACTGATTGTAGTTGGGATGATGCAGTAGCAGACTGTTGAAGTTTTATGTTTCTGGCAATCACATTTTTGAAGCACGTGAGAATTCAGAAACAAGCAGGTTTAATCAGCTCATCGGGAGGAGCCCCTCCCAACAAGCTGGTATATAGACCAGCTTGTTGAAACTTGGAAGGGATTCCTTCTGACAAGCAGGTTTAAAAGCCGGCTTGCCAGGAGGAACCCCTCCCGGTGGTGAGGTTGCAGGCAGAGATCTGAGTCAAGTTGATCCTGTTGTAATCTGGACCGGTGCGGTTGCAAGGCTGGACTAAGTGCCTTAATCTGTGCTAAGTTGACAACTGATGTGGATGCTCTGAGACTGTACAAGGTCTCAAGGCTGAGAGGGATTCCTCTTGGCCTTGAGCCATGTATGGTCTCAAGGCCAGGAGGATTGACCCTTCCCGGACTCAAGACTGTACAGTCTTGGGACTGGGAGGGGTTCCTCCAAAAAATCTTACTGATTTGGATATTGGTAAGGTTTGGTTCTCCAGAGGCTATGGTCACCTAAATCAATAATCAATATGTTCTCATGGCCTCTTAAGAGGCGGTTTTCAAGCCCCGCCCCTTGGTTATTCTGCCCGCCAATCAAGAACCAAGATAGCTTGGTTCTTGATTGGCAGGCAGAGCTCCACGCCCCCTTCTGAGGGGCAGGTTACACTCCCCCCCCCTCAGAAGCTTGATTCCGAGGGGCGTGCAATCAAACCCACCCCTCAGAGAGGGGCAGGTCTGACCACACACCCCTGTTGGAGGGGTGGGGCCATTTCAGTCCATTTATCAATGCTCACTAGATTGGTTGGTCATATTTGCTTCAAAATCAGAAACCACATCTGAAGCGGAGGCAGTGGTGGCTGGAGCATTGCTGCTGGGGATTCTGTGATTACACAATGAGTACTCTTTATTGCAAATCAAATCACACAGCCAGTAGTAGTAGATAAACTAACGAGTGAAACACAAACCAAATGAAGAAACACAATATGAACCACCAAATGATCAGAGAATGAGAATGAAACAAAAATGAAACTTAATTCCAACTTGAGTTACTGATGACTGAAATACTAAAATAAACAGCACAATGAGAGTTGACAAAGTACAACACAACTTGAACACAAACTAAACACCAATCATGATTTGGTTAAGAATCTCAATCATAGAAACAAAAAATCAAAACAAAGATAAATAAGAACAAACAATTAAACTCCTTGATTGATTGTAATCTTCCTCCTCCTGAATTGGTGTAATTGAACAATTTTGGTCTGTGTTAGAGATGGTCTAGAGCTGGTCTCTGGATATCCGTTATCCGCTGGCGGATACCCGCCCGCTGTAGCGGATACCCGCCAGCGGATGCGGGTTCGGGTGCGGATGTGCCCTTTCCGCTGATTTTCCAGCGGATACCCGGGTATCTCAACGGATACCCGAGGCCGGAAAGGGCAGATGGGCCGGCTGGAAGGGTTTCCTTCCAGCCGGCGAGGTTACATGTACCTCGACAGCTGGGAAGGAAATCCTTTCCAGTCAACGAGGTACATGTACCTTGTCGACTGGAAGGAATTCCTTCCAGCCGGCGGGGTACGTGTACCTCGCCGGTCGACTGAAAGGAAATCCTTCCGGTCGACGAGGTACATGTACCTCGTCGACTGGAAGGAAACCCTTCCAGCCGGCGGGGTACATGTACCTCGCCGGTCGACTGGAAGGAAATCCTTCCGGTCGACGAGGTACATGTACCTCAACGGCTGGTAGGAAATCCTTCCAGCCGCCTCACCGGCCCTTTAAAGGGCGGGTATCCGTGGATACCCGCTCGGATACCCGCTGCGGCCGACGGATACCCGCTAGCGGGTGCGGATGCGGATGCGGATGGCCATTTGGCCTGAAAAAGCAGCCGGATATCCGCATCCGCGCGGATATCCGGATTCGTAGCGACCAGCTCTAAGATGGTCGCGGGGTATCCATTGCGGATAGCCGCTATCCGCTTGCAAATACCCCCCAGGGCCAACAGATACCCGCCAGGGGGTGCGGATTCGGCTGTGGGTGGCCGTTTCCCCCCCAAATCTGGCGGTGTGGTAAGACCAATCAAAACCAGTTACACTCTACAAGCACCTTTCTGGATCCATTTCACATCATCTACATATCATAACAACCATCAAACCAACATCCTACATATGTAATACACATATGGCCACCTTCAATCATCCCACAGACACTTCCATCAGAACCACAAAGTCCAACAACCCATCAGTAACACTCCACATGGATCACCAGCCTCATTTGGTAATAAAATAAGTACAAATCAGGTAAAAAGTGGGATAAAGTCCACCATCAAGGAGAGCCAGACTATTAGGAAAGACCCTTGTTCTTCATCATCCTTGTTTCTCTTTATTACATACCATGGCAAATTGTTACAGTAGCCACATATGTCATGTTTCCATCCCTGTTGCTTCAGCCTTGTTTCACCCTTGTCACACATGTCATTCCCAAGGCTGTCTCCCAAGCCATGTTGTTGCCTTGTTACATGTACCCTGTGATGATGCCTTGCTCCTTGTTTTCTTATTCCCCCCCAGAAGACTTATATGTAGTGCTCTGTTGGCCCTTGCCATTTGTCCCCTATCAGAGTTGTCATTATTGCTCCCTGGTCATTGATTTAGCACTACTTACTTGGAATATATTTAGCATTACAGACTTGAGACATTTCACACAGAATTATTATCTTCATACCTTACCCTTTACAAAATCTTACATCTTCATTTAGCCACACCTTTCTTTAAGAGTCCATACTCTTATTTCTTGTTCTTCTTACTCTCCCAGTAACCACGAAGAGGCGAGACCTTCAAGCATTCATCCCTCTCTAAGCTCT